ATGTACCGATAGAAAAAAAAACCACGTAGCCTGTAGCCCCCCCGGGCATAGTCAGCCCAGTCTTGCGAATCTAGAGAAAAGTTGCGCGAGGCTCGTTCCGTGGACCGGTTGCTCGCGGCCAAACACGGCCTCAATCTGCCCCGGGCCATCAGCAATGCTCGGTTCTCAGGTTCACATAGGACAGGGGATTGGGGGACATCGGGGAGTCGCGATTGGTCATCTTCGTTTGCAGCGTTCTGGGCACGCTCTTGGTGCTCTTGATCCTCGGGCAGAGGACGTTCACTTTGTAAGCCCACGGTGGTTTCCTGCTCTCGAGGACCTTGAACGCCAACGAGGGAACGACGTCGTGATCACCGGACATGGGCGACTTGCTCGTCTTCCAGGCCTGGTAGTAAGGGTCCTCTTTGCAGACGACTCGATCCTGCCGAGCCAGAAGGTGACTCTGCGCCAGGTTAGGGTTCGCCTTCGACTCTTCGCCCTGATCCTGCACCCTCTGGTTCGAGCAGCCGTTCTCCTCGTGCAACCTTCTCCAGGACTGCTCGCAGCTGGGAGAGTACTCCGGAGAGGTCAGGCCGCTGGAGTAGTTCGAGCAGTAGCTCTCGTCGTAGCTGAAGCCGTTGTTCTTCAGCGGCAGGCTCAGTTGCTCCCTCCTGGACGAGCTCTCGTTCCTCGCGTCCTCGGGCGCCACCGAGTCGTCGTTCAGCAGCCTGAACAGCCGCGAGTGCGTCTGCGTCCTCTGGTACTTCCTGATGTTCCTCGAGGACGTGCACTCGGAGTCGGTGTCCACTTCCGAGATCATCCGGCTCATGTCGGAGGTCACGCCGCTGTCCTCGTCGTCCGTCTCCTCGCGGGAGTTCTGCACGTTCAGCAGGTGCTTCGACTCCTTCGCTGCTTTCTCCTCCTCCTCGATCTTCCCTGACGAGCGATCCCCTTCGATCCTCTCCAGCGTACCGTCCTCTACGTACGTGTCGGTGGTTTGGTAATCCTCGGAGTCCTTCTCGACCCAGACGCACTCCGAGACCACGACCTCCGGCTTCAAGATGTTCTTGTTGATGTCCCGGATCTCTGCTCTGTCTTCGAGCTTGTCCTTCTCCGCGATCACCGTCTCTCTGCTGAGGGTCGAACTGTCGTCGTTCGACGTGATCGTGCTGGTGCTCAGCGAGTAATCCTCTTGCCTGTCCTTCGTCTCCTCTTTCTTCGAGGTCTTCTTCTTGATCGTGAACTCGGTCTCCACCGTGTCCTCGCAGTTCATCCTGCCCAGTCTCGTTGGGATCTTCCTCAGAGTGAAGTTCACGTGAGGTACTACAGGATCCTCGATCTTCTCTACCTTGCTCTCGACGACGTCCTCTTTCGTTCTGTCGACTATAAGGCACTTCGATGCTTGCTGATCTCTGCGTTTGCTGCCCGAAGTCTCCCTCTTCACGGTGAAGTCCGCGCTGGTGTCGTTGTTCACTAGGAAGTTCACCGACACGTCGTTAGACTTGTCCTGACTCTTTTGCTCCTGGCTCCTAGGACTTCTCCCTTCGTCCTTCCCGGATCTCTCAGGTTTGATAGTGCTGTCTCCGACGATCACCGTGGTCACGTCCTCATTGTTCTCCGACACCGAGAACTTGAACCTCAGTGGCAGACTCACGCTGACCGTCGTGTCATCCACGTCATCCGGAGGATCGTCGGTTGCCTCGAACGGCGCCTCGTTCCAGTTTCTCGTGTCATTAACTCCCGACTTGGGGCCTTCAACCTCGACCTGCTCCACGTCCTCGTAAATGATGCTCAACTTATGAGGAAACGTGGCGTCCACTTTGTCCTCTTCGTTCTTGCTCTTACTTCTCTTTTGCTCATCAGCGAGGTCTGCGTTTCCCTCTGCCAAAGCTTCAGGCCTCTGTCCATCGTCCTGAGACTCTATCGAGTCGATCCTAGCGTTGCTCCTCTCCTGATCCTTCTCGAACCTCCCGTGAGGGTTCAAACCCGTCGAGTAGGCTAAGTAAGAGTCAGAGTCATCGGTGTCCGACGACGTGTCTTCGACGTTGTGGTCGCTGCAGCTCTTCGACGACTCGATGATGGACTCGTTGTCCATCTGGGACTCGGAGTCCGTCGAATCACTGGAGTCACTGGTGTCTATGTAAGTGTAATTAGGCACGGTAACGTTTAAACTGGGATTGACGCACTTGTTGCCCTCCGGGGTATCGGAGACATTCTCCTGCGTGACAGTCATTGGCTCGGGGATCTCCTCCTCGTCGGTTATGTTCATCGCAGTGGTGCAATCGCTATCCCTGCTGTCGCTGCTGGCTGTCCTGGACATGCTGTTCGCTCTGTCCCACTGATTCTGATCGTCGTTCGACACGTTGGGTTCGTTGATCTTGCTCTCTTGGTTGATCGCTGGCTCTGGGTTAGCTACCGTAGCTTGACCGTAGCTGCAGTTGTTAGTCTGCGGAGGAACAGGTATCACGTACGACGGGGGATAGGGGTAGGGATGACTCTTATCGTTCGCAGGGTTGAACGGAGGGTAGCCCGAGAAGTTCTGATTGTAAATCGGGAAGTACACGTAGGCGGTGTTGTCGGGGTGGCAGGGATAGGAGTCGTTGGAATAGGGCAGCGGGTAGTAGCCCCACCAACCGCCCTCGGGAGACCAAAATGGCGGCGGACAGGGCGGAAGGACGACGGCCTGCTGATTGCCCGGAACGTTATTCTCGGTTTGGCAGGTGTAATCTGCTTGACGATTTTCTTGCGTGGCTACAACAAACAGCACAATGCATTCAGACAACAAATTTTCAGCTGTTCTCCTAGTCTTGGGGTGTTGGTGTGGTCTTGCGTTTCTTCCCCT